TTTTTTTAATATCCGAAAAAATGCAAAATAAATTACGATTTCAGTTGTTATACTTTGATGTTGTTATGCAACGCTTATTGTAATATTTTTATCCAAAAAGAACTAAAAAATATATTATTTTAATGAAAAAATTCAATAATCAAATAAAGCTGAAAAAAAATTAAAGTTTCCAAAAAAGCAAAATCAATGATCACACACTACTGTTTAAGGACGTCAATAACGGGTATTTCCCCCACCAAGCTGTAAGACTACTGCCATTCTCCAGGGCATCCCATGAAATAAATTGTTTATTTCTTTTTGTTGGATATTCTGTCATTCCTTTAAAAGCATATTGTGAAGCTCATCTAAAGTGTGGGGTGCAGGTACACTCAATTAATATGCTGATCAAGAAACAACATCAAAAATAACCGTAGTAAAAACGTCGAAGCACTGTACTCAGAAAAACATTATCTGGCCTATTTTTCATGCCGGTGGGTGTAGTAAATTATATTATTAAGAGTATAAATAAAGCTTTATGTCTTGAGCATGGACTCTGTTGACTCACGAACGTAGTGAGCACATAAAGTACAGGGCTTTTATGGTTGATTCTAAGGGCGTAATTGGCCATGGAAATTATGTCTTACTGTGACAGTTCTCACTTGTCATTAATGGCATTTATAACCTCTCATTTAAAGTCGTCGTTTTTATTGTTTTAAGCTTTTTCAAGTGTGAATTACAGTAATTTTCGTTGATCGAAGCTCAAAACAACAAAATAGTCGTTTTCAAAAGTCTTGGTGGTTGCGTACGAAAATTTAGTTTTGGTGCAAGGAAGCGAACACTGTGAAAATGGTTTATTGTGTTGAATAAGAAATTTTCATTGTTATGTCTTGTTGTCGCAAAGGGACTTCGTAAACGAAGAGTGGTTGTATTCTGTAACCGCTTGTAAGCAAGAATATCTGGCCAAATACCGTGATTTAATAATGCAAGGAACATCGTTCGAGGCTCACATTAAAAATGTACCTAATCAACAGATTTGTTCGAATTGGCAGAGTCAACAAAAAGAAATCTCGGGGAAGACGTTGAGTAGGTACCTGAGGATCGACTCGAACAGAATCCGCAAACATTTTTGAGAAAATTTCCTCTGTAGTCAGGAGTTTCTGTTGCAACATGAAATTGAACAGTGGGCCTTGAACAAACTGGTGAACATTTTCAACATTTACTGTCATGTTTAACCGCAATAAATTTGTTTCTTTTTATTGTATTGAATTAGTTTTATTTTTTAAAAAGATATGAAGCATTTAGACAACCAATTATACACATGCGCGTGGTCTTTGTCATGCGTCCTTGGGCATTTAGTAGAGTTCAAATCGAAGAGGCGGCACGTTTACATGACCTACTGCGACCTTATAATCATTTAAAGAAACCCTGTACTTATATTCTGAAAAATATACACCGTGTTATTGAAAGGTACGTACAAAATGAAATCGGGAATTGGTCTCGAAGTATGGATGCTAAAAGTTAAAAAAAGTTCAGGTAAAAGTGTTCTTCTTTTAGAGATAAAAATTATTTAAATTTATGTCTAAATTCATTGTTCGCCTCTGACAAAAAGATCATCTTTCGTTTCTATAGCAACATTTAGTCTTGACGAAAGTTTTATTGTGACAGTTGTAGGGTTTACTAAAATGAATTAATTTTACCTATTTATCCTTCAGTAGTGTCTAAAAAGGTTGGATAAGGGTTAATTTTCCCCTTATAATTTTGACAACACAAAATAAGTTTTTCAGACTTCTTAGACTTCGCGAAGAACTGTCCATTTTGTTGTACGTACCTTTCAATAACACCCTATATGCTATTTGTTTCTTCAGATTTATAAGATTATATCAATAACAACGTATCAATGATTTAGAAATGCATTCTAATTTATTTTCGGAAAACGTGATAACTGCTGATAACAATTTATACAAACATTTTTCATTGTTATTATGGAAACTTATCAAACAAAAAAAGTGTTCACAATTTTTTGCGACAATGTCTGAAATAGCTGAAGTGGCGAAAGCTGCAATTAAAAAACTTCTTCCGATAAAATCAAACATTGTTTGCGAAGCAGTTTTAAAAAAAATTATTACTTGGTGTTACCAAAAAAACGCAGTCGTTTACACGGAAAGTGTCTTGTGTACTTTTCCTGTGAAAATGAAGTGATTAAAACGTCACTTACGTGACGTTTATAAAACTGGTAGAATATATTAATATACTATTATATTTAGAGAACCTGGACCTTTAAATATCTACTGTTCGTAAAAAAATGGTTTAAGTTTATGGATCTTTTTTATTCCAGTAATTTAAACTTAAATTAAAGATGTTTTAGATCTTACATTTCTTATATTTCGTTATCTATTTTTTATCTCCGTATATGTTTAGTTTTCTACACAAATTTAAAAATATGAATGATAAAATAAAGAGCATGTCAGAATATAAATTTTACGCAAAATCTTTTCATCAACCACGCTGAAATATTCCCAGACTAAGCTACCCTGCTCAGTAATCTGCTGCCCCAAGGCGTGTTGTATTCGGAAAAATAGAACTTACATTGAACAAAATGTATAACTCATGGTCGTATAAAACAATATGTCTAACGTGATTTGCTGATTTGACAAACAAATTATAAATAAAATTTTAGTGTAATTTCAATGAGAACTAAGTATTTATCATCGCCCTTGCCGACAGAGAGAATTGTTGTGGAGGAACCGTGGATGAATAAGAAAGTATTTACTCAGTAATTTACTTCCAGAAGGTCCACAACTTTATTGCAAATGTTGGTATTGTGATGCTGTACGACAGAAAAATATTTTAAATTTCTTGTTCAAATGTTATCAAGAACCAACGAATGAATGAAGACTTGAGAGATCATTTAGATTGTAATTGATTCCGAATCCAAATTTACGATCTCTTATTACGACAGTGTTAATTATCATAACAAAATTAAAAAATTGGTCGAAGGTTATTTCGATAGAACTTTCTTCGCCCCTGAAATAACAGGTATTTAATTGAAAAATCTCTCCGAACTTTGAAGGTAGTTATAAATCACAAGTATAAGCTCATCAATCACTATATTTTAGATAGGATTCATTCGGCAAAATTTTGAAATGACGTCATCAATTTTTTGGGAGGGAGTAAACGAATAAATTTTGATTAAGGTTTACTATGATTATACGATAACGTTAAAGGCTTTGCAAGATTTCGGAGCACTCGGTTTTGCACTTTCAAACTTAAATTAAAAAATATTGTTAAAATATTTTGTTTTTTACAAAAATCATGATGTCTAAGGTGAAAACTCCACACGGATCCATATACCACAAGTGTAGGAGGATGTTATTTTCTGAAATTAAAAAAAATATATTATTATACATTTTGGAGATGACTCCATCCCATTGGTAGTGGAGACGATCAGCCAAATGTTTGATTAGCGTTTTACCATCTATATGACATACTATACATATAAAATTTGACAACAATCGGTCCAGCGGAGATAATGAAAAATCAATTAAATTCGTACCAAAAAGAGAACTATGTCATTACATTATTAGACATTTGATATGACCTACATCCTACAATCTTGGTATCTAGTTCTATTTTAAGAGTTTTTAAATATCTAGTCAACATATGCCCTTCATTCTTTAAAAACCAATAATATTAAATCGTATTCATCACCACAAATATGTTATAAACACGTTCCTTGGTGTCTCCGATTTTATGGTTTCTCAATAAATGGATAACCAGCTTTTTTCTGCCAGTGAATTGTTTCGAGTTTTTCTACAGAGCGAGGTGGTTAATTGTACTTAAATGTATTTTAAAATTATCTATCTGAAAAATTTACGACTTGAAAATATTTGAAACTTCTTTTACATGTTATTTATTGTTGAAGCCTCCAGTACGTTTCCCGGAGCAGCATATTTCCAGTTGAAAATACACACAGACATTCTTTAAAAATTTCAGCGCTAGTTATGTGGATTACGCACTCCTTAAAGCACAATCAAAAAGTCTAAGTGCAGAACGTACGTCAATCCCGACTGGGATCTTCACGTTTCTGTTCCGATAGTACATATAAGCCGATTTATATGTGTTTTTCTTTTTGTGCTTGTTTCTTCTGAGTATCCGGCTCATTAAGATGCATCCATATCAACGATAAGGACGAAAAAATACCCGGAAGGAATAAGGAACATGCGATCAGTCTTGAATCCTTATACGTCAAGATATTAACATGAATAATAAAGGAATGCTTTCCGGAATTGGAAAGTCGACTTGTCCGGAATATAAAAATAGGTTTCGCTGACATGCAGAGTGTGACGTATGCAAGAGGAAGAGTGGGGGCTTCCGGTGAGTTATTCATACAAACAACCAAAATAATATATTGTGGGGCATTATTATTCCAAAGAAAATGAAAACTCATTTTCTTTGGAATAAACCTAAAACTTCAGAGTTGAATGTGACAAAAATAATGCCTTCCCCAGATCAGAAACGAAGGCTTTCTTTATTTAACATACGTTCAAAATTGATTCTGCTAAAATATACGACATCAGTCACATATACAAAAATATAAAGAAGGATAATATAAAAGGGTACCTTACAAAACAAAATAAACCCACTCTTAACAATCCAAATATTTACAGGATTTTAAAATAATATCCGACTAAAAGAAATATAAAGTTATATCGAAACTTATGAAAATGCTTTATTTGTCCATCCTTATATAATTGGCTTAGACAGATGTTTCATTTAAAATGCTAGATTTTATTTTCTGCGCTGCTTCCATTATAATGGATTCCAGCGAACGGTCCCAAATATTGGGCATATTTGAGATAGTTAAAATTGCTGACTTTTTTGAAAATTTTTGTTTAGCACCCACCAGAAGGGTGCTAAACAAAAATGAAGAAATTTTCTTCACTATCTTAATTGCCAAAGTCTAGCCGCTTATCGGTTGTGCATCCCGGAAAATCGCGCACTAATTTTCCTCTTCCTTACAGCTTCGACGTCCGCGGGAAGCCCCTATCCAGGGCGAGTCATTGGTCCGCACCGGATCTGTTCGGCACTCGAGCCTACTTCCGGACGGTGTCTGAACCTGCACAGCTCGTCATCGACGACATCCGGCGCCACGATGAGGGCGTCTACCGGTGCAGAGTGGACTTCCGCAATGCACAGACCCGCAGCGTCCGCTATAACCTGACAGTCATCGGTAAGTGGATATTTCGCCGACAGAGCTTCTTCGCGGCTATGTACATTATCTTGATTGATATGGGCAGGCCAACGTTGTTTCAGTGGGGAGGGAAAAGTGTACCGACACCTGCTCCCGCCATCATCTTGAGTAATTATTGTTATTATCGGAGCAACAACCCCGTGGCGTGTTTTGCTTTTCTAATTGAAAAGACGTGGGGCGCCTTCATTAATTTTGGTCGTGTCAAGGTTGCGGACTTGTGAAATGGAAGGAATTTTAGGCTTTATGTGTATGGATTTATGCTGAACTCCCCAGTATAAAGCAAAAGACGGAGAAAGTTCAAAATAATAACGAACATTATTGAATTTATTAGGTCGTTATTAGAAGCGCTACTTCATACAACCTTCTGATGATCTAGTTGACTAATAACTATGAACAACAAATATGTTCTTCACTACCTCTACGCATAAACATTACGTCTACCATAATAAGTAGCGTGCAGGCCCGCTAGTATTCACGTTACAACGAGAATCTAAATCTTTGACGATTTCGATTTTATATTATACTTAATTATAATTATCACCAGGAGTCACTGTGAGAATATATTAGTTCTTGCAGGCTTAAGTTTTCCCCATAATAATTAGATTCCGTTAGGAAACCTGAAGCAATAATACGTGCTGATAATATGTATCTAATTTAAAAATAGCTAGTGGATATATTGAAGAGCACTGAATTTTTGAAAATAATATACCTTATTACCTGATGGAAGGTTATGTTATATGTTTGTTATACAATCTAACATGAAATTTATTTTCAAGTAAAGGAAAACAACAAAAGTCCTCATTATTTGTACAGCCCATACAATATTAAAAAGTACTGGTCATAAATGTTGCTGCTACAATTTCGTGTCGAAAAAAACATCGCCATAACTCGTAATTTAGCCCATCTCAGATATTTCTTAAACTCGCAACTTCGGTTATTTCTCGTTCGCTCTTCGCTCAAAAACCCCCACAATTCATCGTAGAAAATCGCCTTAATATCTTTCCCAGAAGCCAACGTGTAAAGTAGCATAGTGGGACACATAATGTCAAGATGACTTACTCAATATAGCACGTCTCCGGGGATTCTTAAAAGCCGCGAAACTCGTACTTTCGACCACCCGCCAATTTAAATAGGCTTCGTCCGACAACGAAATGTCGTTTTTGGCGAAAAAGTGAATCGATTAGCACGACATTACGTCACGAAAGGTCGAAACAATCTGTCGGCGGGCAATTTCGCGTCGATCGACCCAACTAAACATCTAACACGTTAAAAATTACCATTTGTATTACACCCTGCTGAACTTCCGGCTCTCTACATCACTATTATGTTGGTGCTTTCCGGGCTAACTGTTGTGTCGATGAGCCCTGGAGCGTTTACGCAAAATTACGTACTTAACAATTTTCGCTGTCGTTTGTGGAACTATAAAAACTAATTTCGGTTAATCTCGTAAATATAACGTGAAATGTGGTCATTATGCATGTAAATTTGCAAGTTTACTTTTATGACGTCATATAAGCAAATTCCATTTTGGAGGAATGGGCGCGATGTGAGCGTTTTATGGCTTTTTCGGTGTGCCCAGCTGGCACAACGTAAAGAGGAGAAGTTATCGTTTAATTAGGACACCACTTTCCGGCTAGTGGATCCTGACCATAAAAAACAGCTTCGTCTAGTATTTGTCTAGCTGAGTGCCAACTTGCTGGAAACGAAGAGTTAATTTTACGTGGAAAGCAAGCTTTCGCTTCAATCTAGCCGCAACTAACAGGCGTAATTTAGTTTAAAAAGCACGATTTACTGGATGCCCTTTTGAAATACCCGGATCCCACATCACTATTATGTTAATGTTTGCTTGCGTAAGTGTCAGCTCGTTGCGATTTGCTACATTTACTGAAAATTACACGCACGACAGTTTTCACCACATAACCGCTACAGTTAGAGCTATAAAACTAATTAGTTCTTTGCCGCTGCGAATTTAGAAATCTTTTTAGCTCTCTACAAGTGGTCTTTGCGGAGAAATATGGTCCGAGTTTTATTACAAACGGCACAACAAGTTTATACACTTGTTGAAAAAACGAAATTATCTTTATAAAACGTTCATTATACGTAATTGATTCATACAACCAAGTGTAACTGTCTCATTTGCTGTTGTTAAGCGATTAATTGGTTGGATAAACTCTAAGACATTAAGTTGAAAATTGATAGTTTTATATTATATGCATAATAAAAACCGTCTTATTCACTTAAAATGTTACGATACATTTTTTATTTAAGTTGACAATAAACAATTTTTATCTGTAAACTAGTGTTTACATATAAAAAATAAAACGATTTAATGTTATTAAACCAATTTGCCCATTACGTATAATTAACCAAATCTATTTTATATAAGAAAAACAAAGCAGGTAACATCAGTCATATAGTGTAAGGAAAAAAAAAAAGATCGAAAGTTGTTTCGACAGAACTTCCCTCGCTCCTGAAGTACAATGAAACATATCCAGTATTTTCGAATGGGCGCACCCTCAGAGACGTCCGTTATCGTTTCTCTGTCATAGTGAACTTTTCTACCTACGATGCGTTCCTGTTTAAATTAGTGCCCAATAGTGACCAGTTCACTAAAGTTTCTGTTTCCGTGTGTTATTTTTTGCGGTTTAAAAAAATAAATTTAAAAACCACCCCCTTCTGAAGTGTGCATGTTACGCTACTGAATGACAGTTCGTTGTCAGATTCTGATGATTCACCATGTTGAACTTAAAATAATCCATCTCTAACAACGTTTGTCCTTCAACACTTGGTAATAGCAATCTGACGCTCAAGTGTTTATTTATGTTTATACATCGAAAGAATGTCACGTAGACATTAGTTTCATGTGAATGAGTTTGTCTTCTTAAAGCACAGGACTAAAATTATTAATTAAACCACAATCGAACAAAATGTTCTGAATATTGTTCTTCACATTTTCGAGAAAATGGGGTGACTCCTTCTCAATTTGACCAATAAAAAATTGGAAGTGCCAGGATCCGTAACCGGGACTTCCAATTGCAATGCACTCCACCTCCAGTGAGCCACCGGCCACGTATTAGTTATATTTATCGTACGAACGATGTTTAAATAATAACAATTACATATATTAATAATAATAAAACACAAAAGCAGGGGGATTCATAAAACACATGTGTAGTAATATAATATTTTATGCAATTCAAGTTCTATTTATTGGAGAAAATTTTGAGGGGAAGTTATCACGTTGTTGATGGCGATAATTAAAGACATTTTGGTTAGCGTTTTACAGTCTACAGGACAAGAAAATAAATTTACGCATTCATTAATTTTTTGAGTCACCTGTATATGCAAATCCAAAAAATATGAATGGAATGATAAATCACAAGTACAGACTCACCATATTTAGTACATTTTAGGTAGGACTTATTTAGCAAAATTTTGGAGTGACGTCATCAATTTTTTGGAGGGGATAAGTGGATATATTTTGATTAAAAATTTATCATGGTTATCATAACTGTAAACCATCTGCAAGATTTCAAAGCATTCGGTTTTGCAGATTCAAAATTAAATTGCAAAATGTTTCATAATTTTGATTTTTTTTCCAAAAATCCGGATCTTTCGGGTAAAAACTCAATACAGAGTCATCAACTACATGTGTAGGTTTGTGTTATTTTATGCAATTTAAAACCCATTTACTATGTACAATTTTGAAATGACGTCATCTCATTATTGGTGGGGATGATCAGACAAATTTTGGTTAGAGTTTTACCATCTACATGATATTTCTAATATAAATACAAAATTTGACAATTGGAGATTATCTGTCTAATAAAAATCCGAAACGGCAGACAGACGGACAGACAGACAGACAGACAGACGGACACGCGAGGCCTATTGTCTCATATTGTAAGTGATATAAAACATCTAGAAAACGAGAAGTAACAGCACATTCACTCATTTCTTCAAATATTTGAAAACGTCCCGTAACATGTTTGTGATGTTTTCTCAACTTGTTCTATCAAATGGATAACAATATCGTGTAAAAGTGGAGGCCTTCTCGTTGATTTATCTTTATTACGTTACCATTTCTTACAAATCTAGTAATTAAATCCCGAATGTGATAAAGAAGTAATCCTGACTTTCAATTTCTGGGAACTTTGCAACCTACTTATCTCTAAAAATCATCACTGAGAAGATTTATTCACCACTCTAGAATGTTCTGTTATGATAATATAAATGTGTCTTTCTGCAAATAATAACTAATGTTATTTTTATTGAAAGATACCTCAAATAAACTGGAATGTTTTAATTCCAAACACACAAATTACTTTTTGATTGAACGTAATGTCACGAGTTTAGTTTTAAAACAAACTGTTTGATTTGTAATCGATTAACGTTAAAATGAAATAAAAATCTCAAAAGGGCAATAAAACACTTTCATTTCAAAACAAAAATAGCGAGGTTTTGACCACCAAGCACTGCTAGATAGGTTTCAGTTTAACTCCCTTGAAAATAGGAGAATTATAGTTTCTATTAAGCATCTTTATGACTTACTTCACAACCGACTTGATTGCCCATACATGTTAGCCAAACTAAATCTACTTGTGCCTAGAAATAATGCGAGAAATTCGTTAACTTATTATTATTATTATTATGTTATTGCGACAAAGCCAGAACAAATGCAAATATGAAAAGTCCTATCTACGAGTATGTGATGTGCTCCAACGCGAGTAATTACTATAATAGTGTAGATCTATTTTTTGACTCTTTCCAAACAGTTCGTAGTATGATGCAACATTCTTTATCTTAAGCAAATGTTACTTTTTTGTTACTTTTTTGTCTTTAGATTTAATTATATTTTAGTTTTGTATACTAATTTTTTTTAGTTTAGTTATATCTGGATTCATACGTTCATATTTTTTTTTCCTGTAATTGGGTGATCACACCAGTTGGAAAATAAACCATTATTATCATTATTATTA